GATTAATCTATTTAAAAATGCGATGGGTGGAGAAAGTGAAATATAAACAAATCTGTATAAGTTTTTCTCCATTTAAGGTCATATTCCTCCTCATATTACTCTTGTGCAACTAGGATTTATTTAAGTTCAGCTTCTTTCTAATGGCAAATGAGTGCTATTAAAGTTCCAGCTGGAAGTTTCAGGTAAGAAATTTGAAAGCCTGCATGACAAGCAATATATAATGTACATGTGTACTTATTTTATATTTTCTTCTACAAGAAATACCAATCATTACAAGACTGTGGGTTAACTTTTAGTTTATTTCCTGACTTCCACTTGCAAATGTTTTCAGTTTTATTTTCAAATAATTTGAGTTTTTCTAGATTTTTCTACTTCATAATAATTGCATATAGATGTAGAAAACCGTATTATAGGCCAGTAAATTGAGAGTTTTATCTAAATGTGAACTTATTGGCCTCTTTAAAAGTAAATTGCCAACAAGTATAGAGTTCATTTGTTCTTTCCTTAGGCTACGCAGAAGGTAATAGATTAGAAAACTTATACATACATACGATGAGGGCAAGAATTATTTTCAAAAGAATTATCTTTAAGATAGCATGTGTGTCAGGATGCAATATCATCCTTTGGTGGGTCTTTTATTTTCTTAATATTGTGTAATGGATTTTTAAACATTTATGTTTTTTTTTAAATTCTTTACAAACACACATATCTACATGTATGGATATAGATATATGTGTATATGTGTGCCCATGTAAGTATACACATATATACATTTATGTATGTTATATATAAATGTATATGCGTGTGTGTGTGTATATATATATCTAAATATCGATATATATATATACCTGCCAAAGGAAGTTAAAGTTACTCTAAAATTTTCTTAAAATTATACAAAACTGTATTATAAAACTAATAATCAGTTAGGTGATGTAAATGCCGTGTTTGTTCCCTTTTTGTGCAATCAGGCAAAGTATAGTTTTTACTATCATCATCTATGATAAAAAATATTTGTCATGTAAAAATTTTTGAAATGGTGCATCTTTGGCTATGTATATTCTCACCAAAAAAAAAAAAACAAGGTCGAGAAGGGAGAGGGTTGACATGTCGTGGGGTTGTTAACCAATGTCATAAAACAATATGTGTACTACTGTTTCATGAGAAACTATTTGTTCTGTAAACCTTCACCTGAAGTACAATAAAAACAAAATTGTATGTTTTGGCTTGGCTTCAAATCTGTTAGCTTTTTCTCTGAACTCATCTGATTTTACAAGTATATTAAATCATATTTTTGGCTATAGTTTCATCAAAAAATTTTATGAAGATAATAGATTCGCTTTTCAGTGATCTTAGGATCAGAATAATTAAAACCACAAGTTTAGACTCATTTTTGGCAAACTACTTTTTTACAGCCTCTTTAAACCAACGTATCAGTAGACATTTCTTCATCTTATTTTCCTACCACAATCCAAAACATAAAGCAATGTTTGCTGGGCGGAGGGCTGTGGGAACCATAGTCTCGGGGAACATCTAGCTCAATTGGCATAACACAGTTATAAAGAAAATATTCTACATTCTACCTTGGTGAGTAGCTTCTGGGGTCTTAAAAGCCTGTGAGCAGCCATCTAAGATACTCCAGTGGTCTCACCCCTTCGGGAGCAAGGGAGCATGAAGAGAACAGGATACAAGGAAAAGATAAGTCCAAAGGACTAAAGGACCACAGCTAGCACAACCTCCACCAGACTGAGTCCAGTACAGCTAGATGGTGCCCGGCCACCACCACTGACTGCTCTGACAGGGATCAGAACAGAGGGTTCTGAACAGAGCTGGAGAAGGATGTAGAACCAAATTCTAACTCACACAAAAAAAGACCAGATTTACTGGCCTGACGGAGACTGGAGAAACCGCAAGAGTACGGCCCCCGGACACCCTTTTACCTCAATGGTGAAGTCACTCCCGAGGTTCACTGTTCAGCCAGGGATCGGACAGCCCCATAAAACAAAATGGAACTAATGATGCATAGCAGTCCAGGGACAAGGACTAGAGGACAGAAGGGGACAGGAAAGCTGGTGATAGGGAACCCAAGGTTGAGTAAGGACAGTGTCGACATGTAGTGGGGTTCTTAACCATTGTCATAGGGCAATATGTGTACTAACTGTTTAATGAGAAACTATTTTGTTCTGTAAACCTTCATCTAAGGTGAGAATAGCAAGCAGCACAATTGGAAGAATGTAATCGACATCACTGAATTCTATATGTAGAAAGTTTTGAAATGGTGTATCTTTGGCTATGTATATTTTCATCAAAAATAAAAGGTCCTCCAAGGCCGAGAACTCCAAGGCCGAGAAGGGAGCATGTTGACATGTCATGGAGTTGTTAACCAATGTCATAAAACAATATGTGTACTGACTGTTTAATGAGAAAATATTTGTTCTGTAAACCTTCACCTAAAGTACAATAAAAAAAATTAAAAAAAAAAAACAAAATATAAAGAAATGTAAAATTTAACCTCACTAGTTTGATCTAGAAGGTGAGATTTCTTAATACTGGTCTCATTTCTGAAAATGTGTTCTGAAAGAATGTTAAAAAAAAAAATGTCCAAGAGTTCATTTATATGTAACTTCGGTTGCCTTTGGGCACAGTGCTCCCTCATCACTCATGTCTATGTGCTCCATACTCTAGGATGAGTATAAAATACCACAGCCCTCATGAAGACTTTCCTATTCACAACTCCTCCCAAAAAATTCTGGAAACAATCCCTAATCTCTAGAATTCTGAAAGCATTTACCTGTATCATTTATCCAGAGGCACTTGTCACTTTCTCAGATCAAGAGAAGGATAAGGGATAAAATGAGAGAGACAGTAGATTTTGAGTGTCTCTTTCACCCCAGGGACTATAGTTGCTGCTTAAAAACATCATTTGATTTATTTAAATATATATTTATTTTATATATTATTGCATAATAGTGTATAGTATTCATTGTACAGTTATTCATTTACTACATATTATCAAAAATTTATTTTTACTTTATTATTTTATAGTCACAAATCCTCCATTTTACAAATGTAGAAACTGAGTCTTATAAATGTTAAGCAGTATAACAAAGGTTATAAACCATTGTGCTAGGATTCTTTGGTTTACTTGATTCTAAAATCTAATCTTTTTCTATTACCTCATGCTGAATCTAACATACTGTGATTATTTTTGTTGTCTTTCCTGATAGATTGTAAAGCAGTTGTAAGAACTGTCCTTTTGATTTGTCTTTCACTTAGTAGATTGTGTTGTACATAGTAGGTACCTAATAAACACATATTAATGAAAGACTAAATATTTTTTAAAATTGGATTTGATTCTCTGCTAATAAATAAAATTAAAAATTAATAAAAGTAAATTGTGACCAATTGTTCATCCTAGTGTATCATGACAACTATTTTAAGTCTCCTGCAAAATAACTATGGACCAGGCTGGCACCAGCAGGTAGCAATTTTGTGCACACCTCAAAATCTTACTGCAAAAGGCCTGGAATTGAACCCACTGACATCAAAGAAGGAGAAACCACTACTTAGAAAGGTTGAGTAATTTGCCAAGTTCATACAGCAAAATAAGAAAGGAGCTAGGGGTGACAACTTTATGATCTCTGGCTCCCTCCCACCTGTACTGCATGATCCACTCTGCTAAGTTTGAGCAGTACTGTTTTAATGAAACAAAGTTTTATGACAGATTATCTTTGGTGATAAAAGAACTCACAAGAAAACAAATCACTACAGAATTTCTTATTTCAGCTGATACATTGATACAAATATTTACCTCCGCTTATTCACAGACACACATGAATACGTATGCACAATATTTATAGTCATATTTTACTTGGATGACTTGATCCCACATTATCCAATGTCTGTCACACAGATTTACACTGTGTATTTTATGTTGTGTCCTCATGTTTTGGGCAGTCTGTTGTTCATACAGATGCATTGTACTTGATAAGGTGTCATGATACACTCTGATGGGACAGTCTACCCTAGTGGTTAATGTAGCCAGAGAGTCATAGAGTTGCCACCCCTAGCTCTCTTCTTATTTTGCTGTATGAAATTGGCAAATTACTCAACCTTTCTATGTAGTGGTTCTTTCTTCTTTGATGTTGGGATAATGATAGTACTTACTTCATTGGACTCCTTTGCAAAATGAGATTAACAAAGGTAAAACATTTTGTACAATCTCTGACACATAGCAAGGACTTAATAAATGTTAGCAATTATTAAGGGCTGAGTCTAGAGACAAAGTATTTGCTATTCACACAGGGTATCTAGCTTTTGAGCAGCTTTTTTGGTAGAAATATGCTTGAATTAACAATTCTCTTCAAATAGCTTTTATTCATTAGTAACGTTACTCATAATCTTGTGCATAAATTACATGTATATATTTTATCCATCTACTTGTAATCTTTTCTAAGTGATTCATTAACATAAACATATTTTTATAAATATATCTTAAGTAGTAATAAATATTATACTTGCTATAGTTGTACTTCCCTTTTTTTAAAATATCATTGTGATAATTTCATCTATTTCAATATCTATTTTAATAATGTTAAATTGCTGCTAATAACATTATATAAAATATCGGAAAGGTTGAAAAATCCTTTAACATTAGCATGACTGCATTTCTGAGTGAATTTTGGCCCTGGCTTTCTGCACCCATACCTGAGTGTAGCAGTGAGATATTTAATAGCTTCAAAAAATTTAATGGTAAGAATTTAACTTTTCAAGGTGCAATGAAATCTGAAAAGCAAAGAAAGTATTGAGATAAAGTTCAAGTGAAAGACCAGCGAGTAATAATCATAACCAAAGCTAAAGTAGCAGATTGAGAAGTAAAACACAGGTGACCCCTAATCCTGTAATTAGCATAAAATATGGAGGTACTATAACTAATACGATTTGGTAGAGAGAAAGCTCTTAAGGACATCAGTAGTTTGAAACAAAACTGAGAAGTATTTTCGTCTTTCTTTTTTGATTTAAAGGCAGAGGAATTCATTTGTTTCACATGTCATCAAATCTTCTACTTCAAGCCACATCATGTTAAACAAGATCATTCTGCTGCTGTCTCTTCAGATAAGCCTCCTAGGAACCACTTATGGTGGGAATGTTCTGCTATGGCCAGCGGAAGGTAGTCATTGGCTAAATGTTAAGATAATTATAGATGATCTGATTAAAAGAGAGCATAAAGTGACTGTACTAGTTGCCTCTGGTGCACTCTTCATCACACCAACTTCTGAATCATCTCTGACATTTGAAATATATAGGGTGCCCTTTGGCAAAGAAAGAATGGAAGAAATGGTTAAGAACTTCGTTCTGACATGGCTAGAAAATAGACCATCTCCTTCTACCATCTGGAGATTCTATCAGGAGATAGCCAAAGTCATCAAGGACTTCCACGTGGTGACTAGGGAAATGTGTGATAGTATTCTACAAAACCAAAAGCTGATGGAAAGACTGAAGAAAGGCCAGTTTGAGGTCCTGGTATCAGATCCAGTATTTCCTTGTGGTGATATAATAGCTTTGAAACTGGGAATTCCATTTATGTACTCCTTGAGGTTTTCTCCAGCCTCTACAGTGGAAAAGCGCTGTGGGAAGGTACCATACCCTCCTTCCTATGTTCCTGCTGTTTTATCAGAACTCACCGACCAGATGTCTTTCACTGACAGAATAAGAAATTTCATCTCCTACCATCTACAGGACTACATGTTTGATACTCTTTGGAAATCATGGGATTCCTACTATAGTAAAGCTTTGGGTATGTAACCATTTTTGTCTTATTGTTTGAATCTGAATAGAGAACTTTGTGTCACTTCTTTATTTCCCTATGACTATTCTTTTTCAATACTACGTATCAATATACTGTCTATTACTATTACTTTTTAGTGTAAAAAAAGATAAAAGGCAATATATTTTGCAATCACAATGGGATGTTTACTAATTTTCTGGATGTGAAGATATCAAAGAAGATTTTATGTGGATAAGATCTAGTGACAAATACTTTAGTTTAAAAATAGGATTAGATTTCTCATTTAGATATTGCATTGAAAACAGAAATTGCCTAGAAACTATAGTTGTGTATGAGAAAAGCCAGAAAAGGTAAAACTTTCTACAAGCCCATTATTAACATAGACATGTGTGTTTAAGTATGTTATATATATATATATGTATATATATATAAAACCCAAAAGCAAACCCATTGCCTTCGTGTGGACTCCGATTCCTAGCAACCCTAAAGGACAGAGTAGAACTGCCCCATAGGGATTCCAAGGAGCAGCTGGTGGATTCAAACTGCTGACCTTTTAGCAGCCAATCTCTTAATCACTGTGTCCCCAGGCCTCCATAAACACACACACACACACACATATAGCACTCGATCATCCCTCTAAAAAGAGTAATACTAGAAAAATTTTTTTTCCAGTTCATTTACACATTAAGCCCTTATCACATTTATTTATAAGTGTATTTAAGAGAAAACATAACATCATTGGTCAAGATGATTTATCAATTTTAAGATTATTTGTATGACTTAAGCAGGATATAGTGTTTATATGTCGATGGTCAGTGAGACAGAGGAAGACCCTCAACAAGATGGATTAACACACTGTCTACAACAATGGGCTCAAACACAGCAATGATTGTGAGGATGGTGCAGGACAGGCAGTGTTTTATTCTGTTGTACATAGGGTTGCTATGGCACCTAACAGCAACAAAAACCAGTGGTTATTAGCATCAAAACATCTCTATTTAACATGTTGACGTTCATGCACATACTCATCTACATATCAAACAGGCTTCATCCATTGAACATGCTTTGAATTTTATTATGTATTCTTCACTAATTCTAAAGTTTCTACTTTTACTAGGCTCTCCTTAGATAGTGAGATTATAATAAAGACTAGGATGATGTTTTTTTCTTGAATAATTTCACAGTCAAGCAGAGAAGTCAGACATAAAAGATAATATTCAAAATGTAAGTGAGATAATAGAAATATGTGACAGAGATAGTATAGAGGTAGTCATGTGACAGGGTGAGAGCGGTATTGTGGAGAACATCAGAGCTGAGGTGATGCACAAGGGCATATGGAAACAGTGAATATGAGTTTTTCTACAAACTAAGTGTGGGGAAAAAAGTATGCCCCAAGTTACAAAGACTCAAAATAGCACAGGGGTGCTGGGTATTACTGATGATTCATATTTCTTACAGTCAGATTGTTGGGGGTGGAGGAGGTAAGCATGGAAAACAACACTGGAAATACAGGGACTGCAAGACTGAATTAATTCAATAAATATTTGTCAAAACGTCTTGTATGTCATAGTAAGGGCTTTGTGTTTCATCTAATAAGCGATTGGGAACCATTTAAAAGAATGTACGATGGATACAGGAGCCATGGTAGCACAGTGGTTAAAGCGCCCAGGTGCTAACCGAAAGGTCAGTGTTTGGAACCCACCACCTGCTCCGTGGGAGAAAGATGTGGCAGTCTGCTTCCCTAAAGATTTACAGCCTTGAAAACCCTATGGGGCAGTTCTACTCTGTCCTAAAGGTCTCTATGAGTCAGATTCAACTCATAGGCAACAGGTTTTTTTGGTTTATGATGGCTAGTGTATTTTACAAAAATAACCCATGCCTTCTAAGTTTGTTTGCCAACTGCTCCCTCCCCCTGCGAGGTATTTTCATTTGTACCGCAATGCCAGTTTTTTTTACATGTAGCTGTAAAAAAAATTAGCATAGTGCCCTCACAAAAATATTTCATGGAGGAGGGAGCAGTTTGCAAACAAACGGATCAGTCATGCGTTATTTGTGTAAAAAATATGGTACATTGCATGTCTATAAAACATCTGGGTGGATGTGGGAATGGAGTGGAGGGAGGTGAGAATGTAAGCTACTGTATCACTCCAGGAAAGGTATGGTAAGAGCATGTACTCAGAAAGTAGCTCATGATGGAGAAAAATAGTACAGGTTAAGAGATATTTATGCGTCTACACAGTAACACAGTTAGGAAAGCAGGATCTTGATACACAATTTCCACTTATTAGCGTGTGACCTGGAGAGGTAATTCAGTCTCTTTGCACATGCACTTCATTTTCTCTCATCTCTAACAGGACTGCTAAAAGAACTGAATGAGAATTTTAGTATAATGCCGGGGGTATAGTAAGCATTCAATAAGCATTTGCTGTTTATCAGGTGAAATTAATAGAAGCCGATGGCTGATTGGTGAGGAACAGAAATATGAGGAAGAGTAAGATGGTTTCATGATTTTTTTTTTTTACTTCAGTAAGCACATAAATGGCACAACTAATGGAGTGAGTGAATATGAGAGAGAGCAGATTTTGGGGTGGGAATAAGGCATTGAAATTTAGACAGGAGTGTATGAGCTGCTTTTGGGAATATCTGTTGACAAAGTAGTTGGGTATATGGGGTAAGTTCTCAAAGGCAGTGACATGGATTAGAACTGGAGATTTAAGCATTGTCTCCATAGGGGTGGTATATATATAATTTTGCCTCTCTAATGGTAACTAGTAACATCTTTTCTAAGTTTTTTGTTTTTCTCTTAGGTGCTATTCTTTTGCTTTTATATGCAAGATATTCCTGAAATTGCTAAAAATGCAATGATTTAAAGTCAAGCAATCAACTGACATTTTGTGATCATGATTATTCTCTCAGAATACTAAAATTATTTCACAATACATAATTAGGACTCATAGTTTGTATATAGTGTTATGTATTCAATATTTTAATTTGCTTTCATGATAAACCTCATAGGTACAGACTTAAACCCACTGGTAATCAAATAGAGGTGGAATATTTCCTACTTTTGATGCATTGTATTACTGATTGATATTATGTTTTGAGACTTTAACTTCTCATCATTAGTATCAACAAATTGATTTTTGTGCTTTCACTCATTTTTAACAAAATAAAAGAGCCAAGATTCACAGACTATGCAAAGAATTGTACATCGTTGTGCACATGCTTCAGGGATTGTAATGTTGGCTCCCATGCAGAACTTGTGGGGCCTAGAAGTGGTTATCAATTGATGAATGAAAATCCTAAATGGCATCAAAAATTATTTAGAGATGACAAAGTACAATTCATGCACTGTTTTTGTGAATTGTGAAAAGAAAAAGAATTTGAGGATTCTCTGTAGCTATAGCTATTGACATACTGCCTTCATTTTTCAAATCTCTGTTTGAAAATAATTGTAAAATAGAATATGATCAATAAAAATAGATATGATAGGTTACTGTATGGCTGAGAGTGTCAGTTATTAAATATGGATGAGTATGACCAAAAGCTGTTGAGCCAATTGTAGCTAACACTGATAATCTGCAAAAGAAATTATCTCCTCAGTACATGTTGACTAGTTACCCCTAAGATTCAAACATAAATGTTTATGTCTTGGGACATGAAAGAAGACCTAGCTGTTCTGTCATCCAGAGAGAACAAACATCTCTCTGAGGATTACGGATAATCCTGTGGGGGTTCTATGAAGACATAAGTGAACAGGCAACATTATAACGTTCAAACTGAATCTTGCTAAAAAATTAAGAAAAAGGAAGAAGAAATGACAATTTTATGAAGCAGTGAAGCTGTCAAGATCTGTAAAACTCTTTTCATTTCCCCATGCATATACAGTACAGAAGAATATGTGTAGCATCTCAGTAATTCTTATAGCAAACTGTATATTGGAGGGTTCATTGGTCACAATATATGTTTATATTTTTATCCCATTATTTGTGCTTTCAGCAAGTACTTGCCCTCAACCTTGTAATAATAATCCTCATGATTAAAATGCTCCTTTTTCATGCTGGTTAGGTCACCTTTCCTTTCACTTTGCCCATGCTAGCATAGCAGTCTCTGAATCACATATTCCGTTGTATTGTGCCTATAAGTTGATGCTGGTGATAAAAGCACATTATTCTCCTATCTTAAAACATGAAACTAATCTTTCTTAACAATTTGTTCATGGGAAAGTGATGAAGATTTCTAAAGATGTTATTACCTTCTGATTCTGCTATCATGTTTCTAATCAAATTACACTCTTCCGACTTGGAATGAGTATTTAAGTTTGTCTTTACTAAAACTGAGTATTCTTTTTGATGTCAGGGACACAAGCACTCATATTCAAAACACCAGGTAAGAAGCAAGCATGCAGACATAACAGAGTAATTCATGATTCTACAAGTCTCTTAGATTTAGAATGCTAAATGGGTATGGTAAGGGGAATTGACTTGAAAAATAATTGCTTTACAATTTGTAAATTGAATTTATCTTGTACTTCGTTTGCTTAAATGCTCTAATCAAAGACATTACAACCAATCCATATAACCTTTCTCCTCAGGTCTCAAATTGTCACACCTGAGTGAATAAATAGGCCAACTTTCTGTAAGATTACTTTTCTGCAGTGGAATTCAATAAGAACCTCACAGTGAGTCTTTAATCTCTGCTGATTGCTAGGAATTGGATATTGTCAAGATTACTCACTTCACTTCAGGTTATGAGTATTTGATTCAAACTCATGAATATCATAACTGTAACAGCAGTTAATATTTATTGATCTCATTCTACTGTGCTGGACATTGTGGTATGCACTTCACATATATTATCTTCCCTAATCCTTGCAGTGAACTTGTTAAGAAAAACCTCTTATCATCATCTTACGGATGAGAATATTGAGGCTTGGAAATACCAAGAATAATGTGTTAAAACAAAATTATGTAACTATTAGTTTGAGAAACTAGTTTTCAAACTAAAGTCTCTCTAACACCAAAGCTACTATGCCGTATTTCCTAGTTCTAGGGGGGACAAGGTCTCCTTTTTAAATTTCAATTAAGAATGCAGTGGTTATGCAGAATATTTTAGGCTTCAACTTTCTAGGGTACTTTCTTCTTCCTTCCAGTGTATATAAAATTGCACTCTGCTGTTATATTTCTCACCTTTGATTTTTTAATTTACTGAATGGCATTTAATTGGGCCATGCCAGTCACTAGGTAACCTGCTATTCCTTAAGGCACAGGTCTCCATGTGACTCTGTTGTCTTGAGCCTGAGGATTTCTTTCCGGCCCGAACATCACAGAACTACATAAGCAACCTCTAACAGAGAACAAAAAGCTTCTGCAGATTTCAAACATGTTTGTTTAAAATTGAAGCAGGTAAATTTAATTTTTATATTCCTACTAACAACAGCAACGCAAAACCACCAAAGTTATGGGCACACTTAAGGAGAGGATAATGTAGCATTTTAATGCAAGTAAAAGTATTTATAATACATAAATATTGCATATAGTTACCAACGTCTTACCCTTTGGCCCCATTAAAAACAAACAGGGGAATAAGCTCTAAGAACTAATGCCAGCTAGAATAAGAATAGCACATCTTGCAAATATATTAGTATATTAAAGAGGAAAAACAGCATATCTTTAAAAGGAATGACCAGAATATTCAGTCCTTTTCATGAACTAGATACTGACTAAGAACTGGTAAATAATGTATTATAAAGTGCTAGAAATGAAGCACATTTGAGTGTGTGTATATCTCCACAGTATTTTATTTCTAGTAGTCGTTTCAAAAGATTTAAAAAAAAAAGTATAATGTATAGTCCTTCCCTGGTTAGAATCTTCGTCTTTTATAATAGTCTTCCTCTTGCTTACCTCTCTTCTTCCTCTGTTCCTTCTTCCCTCTATTTTTTTTTAAATTGAAATTAATCTCCATAGTTAGAATCTTTCAAACGGCCCTCTGATAACATTCTTCTTCCACAGTAACATATATGCCAGATGACAGCCACAGATGTGACATCAGTGGGGTGCAGCTGACACACGATTGGCTGTGAGATATGCACAATTCTCAAGATATCTCACTTTTGTAAACCCACTTCTTAATTACCATCCTTAATTCCTGTTTTCTATCCTTTTAATTACTTTATTGGTTATCTGCCACTTTTACTGGCATCCCTAATGATTTTAACTTCTAAATAGCTTCTTTACATAGTTACTCTTGTTCAGTTTGGGATTCACTAAGAATCTCAACTGATATCACTAAATCCATGTCTAGCCGAGCATTCTGTAGATAGCTGCTGAATTTACTAAACCCTTGCTTTAAACCAAGCAGTTTGCAAAGCAGTTTTACATGTATTATTGCTAATTCACAAATCATATAATGAATTAGCTTCATCATCTCCTTTATAGATGAGAAAATTGAGGCTGAATGTAGGTAACTCCTTAGGTCACAAAACTTGTAAAAGGTCACTCTGTGATTCTGAGAGTATTGAACTCCAGGGCCCACCTAACTTAGCCCATTACTCAGCTCTAAATAAAAATTTCCGGTTTCCTTAGGGTGCCAGGCCATATCTCTTTGATTTGTGTCTGAAGATGTCATATGGAAGAGAGTGAAATAATTCCCTGTTTCAAGCGGTAGGAGAGAATGAACATTTTGTCTTATCAGGGTAGAAAAATATCATCTATCAAATGTTCACTGTACAACCCAATTGATCTAAAACATATAAATGAAAGGTTGTATTTTTTTTCTTCCTAATATGGCCACAAGGAAACTATAATAATGCTGGTCCTTGTGAGTTACCAAAGTTCCTAAAACTTACAGAGATGAGGCATCATACTACAGAAATCCATCATCAAGTCATATAGTGTTATGGCTATTATCTCAATTGTACTACTTTGCCATATGTTTTTGGTATGCAACTCAACATTAATTTTATTATCCATGAAATGGGAGATATATCTTCTGTTGCACTAGATCGTTAAAAGGATTGAATAAGACAATAAACGTAAAAATTCTTGTTGAATGGAGACATCTAACCTGAAGGTACTACAAGTTTTGACAAAGTGGCTGTAGCAGAGAATAATTGATATGTTTATGTTAACTTTGTGTTGAGAAATATATATTAAATTGAAGACACATTTTATAAATGACAGTAATTATCACAGAGTATATAAATATCGGGATTGTAACCTGCCAGCTTCTTTCTTTTTAAAATAAGACCATATTTCATTTATGTTGTTGCAATAAAAATATTAATGAATTTCAGAATTTGAATTATTTTGTTTTAGTCTTGAGATCAGTTGACCTAGGAATGAGTGTAACCATCACATTAAATATAGTTTTATTTGAAAAAACTAATCTACCTATATGCACATTCAAAGTTTCTTTTCATCTTAAAAGTTTCACAGTAGGATGGTTTCCATCTTGAATATCACCAGGCCGAAGAAGTTTTTCCAGCTGCTGCTTTATAATTTGACACTGACTGAAATTGTTCTAAGTGGAAATGTGCTAATTTGGCCTGCGGACGGTAGCCACTGGTTAAATATTAAGATCATTCTAGAAGAATTGATTGAAAGAAATCATAGTGTGACTGTCCTGGCTTCATCAGCAACTCTATTAATCAATTCTAATCCTGATTCTCCTGTGAATTTTGAAGTGATACCTGTCTCCTATAAGAAGAGCAATATAGATGACTTATTGAACATATGATAATGCTGTGGATAGACCACAGACCAACTCCTCTAACACTCTGGACTTTCTACAAAGAAGTAGGGAAAGTCCTAGATGTTTTCTTTCGAATGAATTTACAAATCTGTGAGGGAGTATTAAATAACTCCAAGTTAACGGCAAGACTTCAGAAAGGTGATTTTGATGTGTTGGTAGCAGACCCAGTAACAATCTGTGGTGATCTGGTTGCTCTGAAGTTAGGAATTCCATTTATGTACACGTTGAGGTTCTCTCCAGCCTCAACAGTGGAAAGACACTGTGGGAAAATCCCAGCACCTGCCTCGTATGTACCAGCAGCCTTATCAGAGCTCACTGACCAGATGACCTTTGGTGAAAGGGTTAAAAACACCTTATCTTATCCTCTGCAAGATTATATATTTCAATCCTACTGGGGAGAATGGAATTCATACTACAGCAAAGTTCTAGGTAAGTCTCCAAAATTTTTTCTTATTAATGACTCAGGGTATCTGCTATTTACTGTTATTGTTAATACAGCAAAATATTTTCATCCCACTGCATACACCAAGTTGAAGTAATTGTACTTATTTTATTTTTGTACAATTCCTTGATCATTTTCCTTCGTTAAATTTTTCAAAAATAAATGGCTGTATTAATATTTAGGCTATAGTCTCTTAACACAAATGATCTTGTGCCTGTATAAATAATAGCATTTCAGTGTGTAAACAAATCTTTAAATATAAATGAAGTTACCGTTGAAGGGATACATTGTGATAGCTTACCCTCCCCCCCCAAAATAAATCATGCACATGAGTGCGTATGTGTGAACCAAAAAAATTGGCAGCTCCTGACAAATATGTTGAGGTGATAACGTGACTCACCCCACTCCTCTTTTTTCTTCACCCTTTTGTTTACAGAAGACATTAAAAGGCATGGTACCGGGCATTAGAAAACCTGAACTTTTACCCTACCCTGCCTCGTATCTCTTCATCTTTAGGCTTCTCTGGGTCCTTGGGCTAGCACTGTATCTCACTTTCTCTCAATTCACTCTCTCTACACCCTTCGACGAGACTTCATTTCCTTGCCTCACAAATTCTTGGTGAGGATCAAACAAAATAATGTGAACTGTTAAGACCAGTTCTGCTTGGTTGTTTCTGTTACTTCTCTTTCCACCCTTTTGA